TGAGTGGCTGGTATTTTGGCCTTTTTTTGTGTTCGCACAAATTTTGACATCAGAATAATTGTTGCATAGTTAACATCCCCATAGTTAGACCAGACCAATCTCGTCTCCAAGGGTTACAGTGTATAAACTTCACTTTTGTCAAGCCAGGGGTCAAAGTTCATGTTATGTATAGAACCTTTTTTTTCTTTTACATGGATATAAAATGAAGAAGAAAAAATCAGTGACTTCAAAATTTTTCAATTTTCACAACTGTAGATATGATGTTACACTTTACCCACAATTCTTTGCTGAAGAATCAAGATGGCGAACAACAAAAACTGATGAAAAGTTGAATATCTAGAGAGATCTTTGGGGAGCATTATGTTGTTTGGCTAGACTTTTTCTTTAAGATACTTTTTTGCCATAGAGGGCAGACTTTTAATGACCTAAAATGCCAATAAAAATGGTTGTAATGCAATGAGTACTTTATTTTCACTTGGAACTTATTTTTCGCTGAAGGAATGTTTCAGTGAAAATAAAATATATATTTCATTTGTCAATGATCAGTCAAAATAAATTTCATACAACGCATCCAAAAAGTCTTTTCAGCAAAAAATATTTCCAGTTAAAATAAAGTATTTTACAGTATGTATTTAAATATGGTAAATCCTGTCTGACCGTGTATATGTATATAAATGAGCCAATCACAGAATAGCTTCAATTAAACATTATTATTATACATCTGTCACCTTAAGTTACAATGTGCCGTAATTTTAAGATATTTTAAGGGGATATTTGCATCTTACCATATTAGGAAATTCAAATTCCAAATATGAAACGATTACACACGTAAGCATCCTTTAATAATAAAAACATTGTAATACATTTTGCACCAAGTTTGACCAGACCCCACGCAAAGAAATTCGCTAAATCTTTTCTAAACATTTTGGATTTTGGCATTCCCATGATGTATTCTTGGGAGGAAAAAATGTACATGTATAATAAAAAGGTTATTAAAAGGATACTGCAAAGTTTGCACACAGACAGTACATGGTCGCATCAAACTCTGATGCGTGCCGGTTGATACTCTCACTGTATAGTCTTTGTGCATACTTTGCTGTATCTTCGAAATAACCTCATATTTTCTTTAGTAAGGACTAAGGCACACATTATCTTGTTTAGAGAAACAAGCGTTTTTATGAATGTCATCAACACAACTTGACCTTCATCCACCAGTAATTTATCTATTTGTCAATACACCTTAACAGATGATACTGACTAAAAGTAGCTGTACAGGAGACTAAAGTTAGATGCTTTAATACTTAAGACATTTTGACCTTTAAAGTGTGACCCCAACCATCCCTGTTAATGTCAAAACGCATGCATCACTGTACTGGCAATACTCATCTCATAAATA